AAAAAAGATAGTTTTTGTGATATAAAAAAAAAAAAAGTTAGCGTGAAAGGATTGGATTAAAAACATAAAAAAACAGTTAGAGGGAGAGGGGGGAAGAGAGAGAGGGGGGGGGGGGAGACTGTTTAAGAACTCAACTAGGAAGATCTGGCCGGCCTGAAATTCTGGGAGATCTGCCTGCCTCTGCCTTCCAAGTACCAGGATTCAAAGTATACACCACTAAGTTTGGGCACCATAGTATTCTTATATTACAAGTTACCTTAGAAGTTGTATTACAGCTTTAAGTTTTCTAGACTATTACTTGGTGAGATAGCAGCCCATGTTGCCAACAGGCCAGGGGTGGGGGAGTAGGATTAAGGGTTTAGCTGAGTTGTCTCATTCCCAGCTAGTACAGCTGGGTCTCAGTCATGCCTTTCCCATGTTTCATTCTTACTTCTGAGAAAGGACCAGGTGAGAGGAATTTGCGACATCTGCACAGACTAATCCCGAATACCAGGAAAGCCAAGGCCTGTTGATCCCGGGCCTCAAGTGCCTTGTTGTTGTCTTACCATGCCTTAGTGACTTCTATTTTGTAATCTATACTTCAAAGATTTACAGAAACATATACAAAGAAACAATCTAGTCCCAAGTTTCTGCCAGGTAGAATCCCAGATTTCCTAAGACGGTGGGAGTGCCTTCAGGTGAATCATGGGTATGTCAAACACAGTTGCCTTTGCGTTTTGATTCATCACAGTTGCAGATGGATAGTGATGTGATTTGGTGTGAGGCGAAGCAGTCGCTAGTGCTTCTTTCTCTGGAGTCTCCCAAGTCCCAGATTTTATTGTAATGTCAACTTGGGGGTCAGCTCCAGCCTCGGCATTGGGGAACTGGGGGACCTGTCAACCAGCTAGGCCAAAACAGATCCTGAAGCAGAGCCAACTGGATTAAGAGTCTCAGATTTGAAAGAAAGCACAGAGTACCACTTGGGGAAAGAGGCAGCAAGATTTGGCTGCCTGTCTTCCTTAGGGAACTGCTGCGAGCCTTTGAGAGTGACCTACTTGTATGTTGTCAGTGACAAGAGACTTTCTGTTTCTCACCTCATCATACTGCTTTCTGCCCTGCACAAAATTTCCCCTTCTATTTAAAAATCAGTTAGCTTGTACTTTTTGCAAAGGACAATACATCTGAATAGTTGCTAAGAGCAAGGAGATTAAAAAGCCTAAGTTTATGCATCTTTCTCCATTAATACTGTGTTTAAAATGAATTTTTAAGACCTCCCCAAATACTATTAAGATTCTCTTCTTTTTGGTTCGTAGCACCTTATTAATTGAAATCCCTGCTGTCTGAGGAACCTCCACAATGAGCAGCTGCTTCTCTGTCACTGAGCTTTATTTTTGTCTTTCCCAACTTGGGACTGAATCTCATTCACACCATCTGAATTCTGATGCCACACTAAGAGTGGGGAATGGTGATGTGGCCTGTTTTATTGCTGAGCTGGCACACAACGGAGGCCTGTAGTTTCCGAAACTTTCAATTAGACTGTGTGCAGCTCGCAACCTTGTTTGTCACACTCTTATCAGGATCACTCATTGGCCTGAGGCCTGGATGCAAATTGCCCAGCTCTGGAACTGCTGAAGGAGATGAACACTGTGGGCACCATACATAGACTCGGCACCAGGAAAGGTCCCTGTTGTCCTTACACTGGGGACTGTTGAGTAGTTCCAACTGTGACCCAGACAAATGAGAAAGCCTCAACCTGAGGAGAGGACGATCAAGGGCCACTGCTGTTTCGTGGGGTTCTGGACCTCGCTCCACTGGGTTCACATGCTCCAGCACAGCCTGTTTCCTTCCTGCCCCCTTTCTCCAAGGGAACAGATGTGACTTTGCTTTATGGCTGTTTTGCAGACAGTTGAGGAGATTGAGGGGGTACTTGGCCGTGACCTTTATCCCAACCTAGCTGAAGAGCGGTCCCGGTGGGAGAAGGAGCTGGCTGGGTTGAGGGAAGAGAATGAGAGTCTGACTGCCATGCTCTGCAGCAAAGAGGAGGAACTGAACCGGACCAAGGCCACCATGAACGCCATCCGTGAAGAGCGCGACAGGCTCCGGAGAAGGGTGAGTATGCAGCCAGGCCTGGCCCAGGTGTGGAGTGCCCAGAAGTGGGCAGCAATGGCCAAGGGCTGCTCTTTAGAAAATCTGTCCTGGGAATCACTATATCTTTATTTTTCCAAAGTCATTCTTGAAAGTACTTTAAAAAATGCTAAGAAAAAAATACTAAAAGATAGAGCTAAGATAAAAATTCATTCTTCTCAGGAACCCTAAATCTAAGAGAGTAAAATTGTATCAGGGCAGTGAGTCTCAAACTACTCCACTGGGATGCATGTCTTCCAATAGCTCAATTAAAATATTCTTCTTTAAAAATAGTCTAATGACATTTTTATAATTGTAAAATATAGAATTTCTCCTTTTAATTCTTTCTTCAAATTTTTCTTTAACTCTATAGTACCTACTTTTTCATGTATATTGAATAATATATTTCCCCTACAGACTATTAAAGTCAAAATGATCATAACCATATGTTCATGTCTATATACTTATGTATATATGTATGTATACATACACATTTGTGTAGTATATATGTGTGTATGTGTGTGTGTGTGTGTGTGTGTATTTACACGTGTGGGGGGGGTATCCTGGATATCATTTAAGGACCTGCACTGATTTGTTTAGACATGTCTCCATCACTGAAGGCCCAGATGTTTCAGCTTTGAAATTTTTGTGAAATTGTTAAAGCACTAACTTTTCCAAAGATGCAAGAGATCACCCTTCCTGAACCTTCCCCCCTGAACCCCCCCACCCTCAGACGCATAAGTACTTCTTTGTTTGACAATGACTTTGATCTATGATTGAACTGAGGGCAAAGTGATGAATTTTCCAGCAGAAACAGTTTCCTCTGAACTTTACCTTGAATTACTAGACTGACTTTACTACCTTTCTCAATCAAGATGGTATAAGGAGGTTGCTTTCTAGTTATCCTCTGATTGGTAATTTTGCACATGGGGCTCAATTAGAGGGGAAATGGCATCTAGGAGGTCTCATGGACCTTCTGTATTATTGCTTCTCCCTAACTTGGAAAGTATCTTGTTCTTCAATAATGTCAGTATGTGTAAATCATTCTGATGTTTTAAAGATTTATTTTTATTATTTTTAATTATGTGTATATGTGTGTGTGCCTGTGTTTGGATATATGCATGTGAGTCCAGAGGCATCAGGGCCCCTCGAGCTGAAGTTATAGGCTGTTGTGAGCCCCTCAATGTCGGTGTTAGAAACCCAACTCCAGTCCTCTGGAAGAACACCGTGCTACTCTTAATTTCTGTGTGTTCTCTCCAGCTCTAATCATTCTGTTGTTCTGTTTTTAATTCAGATTCAAGTATTCTTAGTTTTCATTAGGTATGACTATGGAACAAATTATTCAGTTTGAATGTTATCACCTCCTTCCTTCATAGATGGCCAGTGTCATAATTAAAGGACCAGTGCTCCTACCTCTATCTAAGCATCATTTTGCTTAACTCACACTCATAAGTATGTTTTCAGAACCCAGCTGTGTCAGATGTCCTGCCCTGTACTTGCATCAGTGGGTGTAAACCATCCCAGTCAGCAAAGGCTTTATCTGGGGAGCCTGATGAAATTTACTTAGCACTGAAGCCTAGGATACCTGTAATTTCCTGGGTCACACTCCTAATCTTCATGACTAACAACCTAATTAGATGCGTGCTTGGTCTTACAGTGTGCATTCTGATGGTACATGTTTTGCAAAGGAAAAGGCCTTAAGTATAATTTACATATTGCAGTTTAGAATAAAAATCCTTCTCTAAATTGTGTTACAGAAGCCCAAGAGAACACTTGATTGTAGCTAGCAAACTTGGCTCCTCCTTCCAGTGTTTTCTCCAGCTCTAGAAGCCAGCATTAAAAGCAACATCATGTGTGGGTACCTGTATGATGTACCAGAGCCCTGGTGTCGGATTGCCTGGAGTCATAGTCTGACCTGCAAAGTCATTGTGAGCCCTTGACAATGTACCTGATGTCTCTGTGCCTCTGTTTACTTCACCATGAAGTGGGGATAATGAAACTTGGTGCAGAAAATAAGATAATATTCATAAAGTAGTCATGTGTGGCACATAGTAAATGCTCAAGAAATTAGCAGTTGTTTTGAGTAACACTGAGGTTTGACTCTACTTCCCTGGGCCTGCACCACCCGACGAAGACCTCTCTCCCACCTGCAGTCCTCTCTCCCGGACCAACCCAGCTCCTCAGTGCAGTCCCTAGGAGTCCTTGGGGCCTTTTCCTGCCCCATCTGCCTTTGCATCTCTGGGTGGCATGGCCATCAGCTGCCCTAGACCAGCATCTTTTCTGGCCCAGGCTCCCAGACCAGTCGAACCCCCCAAATTCCTGAGGCCAAAATAGTTCCTGGAGAGATCCAGACCTTAGGAGAAAGCCTGAGAGCATCTGATGCTCATCTGAACTGGGCCTCTGTGAGAACTCCTGAAGACAAAAACAATCCGGCCACTCCAATATAAAATCAAAAGAGAGAATCAGAAGCTTAGGAAAACCAGCTTTTCATGCCCAAAAAGTAAACCACAAAGACACACAAAGTTTATAAAAAGAAGTAGGCCTAAACTTGAAGGCCTGAGTCTCACACAAGAATCAGAAACTACAAAAGAAATTTACATGCCAAAATTACAGAGAAAAAATAATTACATGAAAAACCAAAATAACATATCTCCACCAAATACCAATAGTCCTCTAGAGGAGTACAATGAGAACCCCCTAGAGATAATGCA